GGGGAATTTCATGCACAGGTGGGGCATAGAAATTATCCCACCGATCTTCATAATGGCGGGTCGGCACAAGATTATGTTGTGGACGCAATGGAGGTTGACCACAACAAATTCCAGCTCCGTTTTGATCGACTTCGGAGGTGCGCCGATCTCGACCGGGAGCGTTATTTTCCCCTCGGGGTAAATAAGAGCCTTGGTAAATCCTGACAGTGGTACACCGACCGGAGTCAGCTCCTTCCTGTCGAGGCCAAGCTTCTCAAAGACGTCCAAGTATAGGACGTTCACACTGCTGCCCGTATCAACCATAACCCTCTGGACATCTGTCCCCTTAACGTCAATCGTGACCACGAGCGCCTCCATGCCGTGGTCACTGCTGCTAGGTTGGTCTTCGAGGGTGAAGGTTATGGGTTCCATCTTCTGCCTCTTCCCGGTCTCCCGGGAGTCCACAATAGCGACCGGGCAATTGGTCCGCGGTCGGGAAGCGTCTTCTAGCCCACCAAAAATGACATGTATGGTAGGCTTTCCGGACGGGCGACTGGTAGACGGAGGGTCAGGGTCCCGTCGGTCATCATGACGATCGTCCCTTCAATCATCTCTTCGGTCCTGACCTGACCGATCGGAGCGGTGATGAGAGCGCCTGTGATCTCTCCGATCGGTATTCCTCTTATTGTCCTCTCTCTTCCCCACACACTTGTCCAATTTTCCCATGTTAAGCAGATCTTCCAACAATTGGCGCAAGTGGGTACACTCCTCGGTGTCATGCCCGGCGCATCGATGGTAAGCACAATGCTTACTCTTGTCAAGGCCATCTCGATCGGGATGGGGGAGTTTGATGAGATTGCAGGACTGGGCGTACTGCATGGCCTCCGCTGCGGATCGGTTCAAGGCCGTAAACTCGCCAGGCCTGGTGCGGGATCGGGGATTGTCATCTCTCGACCGATGTTCCGCCCGGCCGGCCGGTTTACGGGACGATGAGCCGACCTCCTGCAAGCGCTTTACGGCGTTCGCCTCGCCGGTGTTGGCATAGTCTGTGACCCTCCGAAGGGCCTCCTCATAAGTGGTCGGGGGGTGCAGGATGAAGTCTTGATACAAATGTCCCGCCCGGAGAGATATGTGAAGCATATGGGTGGCGGTCGCATCGTCCATAGGCTCGACCTCCCCGACCGCTGCCTTCCACTTGACGAGGAAATCGGTCAAGCTTTCCCCTTCTAGCTGCTTGGCCTTCTCAAGATACATGTAGGACTTTCTCACCACTTTGGAAGTAATGAACTTCCTCACAAACTTGATCGCCAAGGTATCAAATCTGTCGATCGAGCCCGGTTGTAAGGTCCGAAACCATTCTGCTGCTCGACCAGTGAGCGTAGAGTAGAATGCCCTACACATTACGGCGTCTGAAACGCCCTTCATCATCATGTTGCTGTAAAAATCATTCACATGGGCTTCAGGGTCTGCCCGTCCGTCATAACTCTTCTCTCCAGAGACCTTCAAGTCGAGCGGGTAAGGCTGGGCCATTACCGCTGCTGTGAAAGGCGTCTGGTGCAGGGTCGATTGGTTGACCGGGGGTGTTGCAGGGTATGCATTCCTGAGCTGCGCAACTTCCGCCTGGAGGTTATAGAGCAATCCTCGGGTTTCGTTGAGCTCGGCGGTTTGGACGGCTTGGGCTGTTTCCCGAGCGCGTCGCCGTCGGTGTGATCTCGACCCGCTATGCCCGGATGAAGCCTCCTGACTAGCGTCCTGCATGTGCACGTCTTCCGGTTGGCGATTCGGATCTTGGGGTCCTAATCTTTGCCGCATTTCCGGTCGAAGACGGTTAAAAGCTACCGCTCGGGCAACTTCTTCAGGGTCCTCCGCTTGGGCGGGAACCTCTTCTGCTTGCTGGGCCTGCCGGGGTGCCTCCATCGCAACAGCACCCCCCGACCCCAACCGCGAACGAGCCGAGCGTCGAGCCCGGGAAGTGGGCTGATGCTGCGGCTCTACCTGAGCGGCCGGGTATACTGGAGGGGCGGCGGCTGGAGCCGTGTACGCAGGCGTGAACGGTGGGTATCCAACCGGAGGAGTATAGTACATCGGTTGGCCTGGACAATACACATACGGTTGAGGTGGGACCGGGTACGGATACTGACCGGGATACATCATCGGTTGCGGGTATTGCTGACCGGGCGTCTGAAATCCCGGTTGTATGTAGTTCACCGGCTGTTGGGCGGTCGGGTATGTGTTTGATGGATGCGGTGGCGAGAGGTTGAGGTTTAGATCGACCGTCTGACCTTGCTGTTGGGTAGCGTGATGGTCAGATGAGCTCGCCGCATCTGCTTGGTCGTCAGCGAAGTTGTTGTATGCCCACGGATACATTGTTGCAAAGAGGCCGAGTGCTCGTCAAGACGTAGCTTTGTTGCACTGATCCCCACAGACGGCGCCAAAATGATACTGCTAATTATACGTAAGCAATATGAAATAACTCGAGACCAATTAAAGCAAGTAAATGTCTTTATTGATCACGGTAGAGGCCCTAAGTACAATCTACTTGGTTGCTCTGAGTACCGACTGACTGCGGTCGGGATTCTCTAACAACAACCTATCGATCGTCCAAAAGTCCCCTACACTGTGGCTACTGTGGGTATTTATAGCCGCTATGCCGGAGACAAGAATCCGGTCGTTCGGCATGCTCTCCACGTAGCCTCCACGTGTCATCCTCCCGGGTGCCCTGCCTGTCGTCGTAGAGAGCCGCCACGTGTCCTTTATCAGCTCTCTCGCCAAAGGGCTACCGATCGGTGGTCGACACTGCCGCTCGGGCACCTCCCGGTCGGTCACCGACCGGGTTCTCTACAAGGAGCCCGACCTGTTACCTGCAAAGACAAAGAGAAAAAGACGAAGGTACCTTGGTCGTGGTGAAGCCATGTCGGTCGGGATATTCCCTACCAGATGCAATATAAAATGAAGACTTATAATTTTTGTAATCATCAACTCATTGTATTTATAGCTGAAAAATATGAGAATTATAAATTTGTAAAATATTTAAAAAAAGAAAGTGTATTTATTTATTTAAGGTATTGTCCTAATCAATTCATTATATTGATATTCCTAATCAATTCATTATATTAATATTCCTAATTAATCTTATTCCTAATTAATTCATAATATTGATATTACTAAATTTCTATTTTTCATTTGTTTACCAAATAAGCTTTATTAAGTATTTGACCAATAAAATATAAAATATCTAATCAATGTTGTTTAGAAAGAACATGTGTTATTTTGTGAACCTTATAATGATTTATGTATATGTAATATATTTTGTGATTTAGTTATAAAATTATTTTTAAAATAGTTTTTTTTTTAATGAATTATCTAATCAATGTTGTTTAGAAGTTCTATTATGCGTCATTCTATTCAAATAATCTAAAAAAGAATTGAAATTGATCTAACTAAAAAAAAAGCATGTATAAATATGATATAAATAGAGAATATGCATGATTTATAATGTGTTTTCTATTGGAACTATTTTATCCAATTAATCATGTTTCATATTTTGTTATGAATATCATTTCTCACGTTTTAAAGTGTTTTTGATTTATTGCTTCAATAATTAAGATTTCATGCTCTACTCGTATTTGTAAGTTGTGTTTTATAATTTTTATTAATAATTACTTTATTATTTATTATAATAACAATGTGATTGTCTATAAGTTTATTTGGTTTTAAATTGTTTATCCACTTTTATAAATTAGAATTCTTTATTTATGAAGTCACATATGCAATTATTGAATATTTTGTAATTTTTTAAACCAACTAGTAGTTGCACCCGTGCGATGCACGACCATATGTATATTTTATGTAATATACAGTATGTACTAAAGCTTAAGAAATGTAATAAATTAAAAATCTCCACAAAATTGAAAATTGATTAAACATTGTTGAACACTTCTTTGTACACAACATTTGTTGTCTTACTAAGACATGTTACATCTTCTCCGCAAATCAATACTTTTAAGGCTCAAGTGTCAAATCGCACCCTGAACCAATTGCGATATGTCATCCCGCACCCTGATCTTTCATAAGTGATGATACGATGCACAAACCAAAATTTTTTGTCCATCTAGTCCTTTTTATAGGTTTTCCAGTTTCCTTGCTGACATGGCGCCGGTAATTATCTATGTGGAGTTTATTTTTATTAATTCTCCCTAAATTGAAATATTAATAACTGACACACCACCACTCATGGCGTCGCCTTCATAACACCGTTAATTGAGTAGACGCCACCGGAGATCTGCAACTTGGCTCGGCTCAACCGCGCCTTCCGCGACGCCACCTCATCTGACGCCGTCTGGGAAGCCAAGCTGCCCGCTAATTACCAACAGTTGCTCGACCTTTTGCCTGAAGATAGATACCAAAGGCTGTGCAAGAAAGACATATTTTTGCTCCTCTCTCGCTCTGTCCCCTTCAATGACGCCAATAAGGTAGTATGGCTGGAAAGGGTTACTGGAAGTATGGAACTTGAAGTTGATTTATTTGCTTTATATCTTGTATCCCGATCCTTGTTCAATCTAGAAAGGAATAAAGAGGGTAACAAAGAGATGAGATTTCTTTAAATGGTGGTTTCCACTCTTTGATTTTCCAATGATTTCTCTGTTATGTTTTAATTTCTGTGATTACTGGGAAATTCTACTGCTTTCTCTTTTTTTTTTTTTTTTTTTTTTTTTTTTTTTTTTGTAAACAATTCTTGGGCTCCAACTTGGTTGATTTTTTGTAAACAATTCTGCGACCCAATTGCTTTCTGCTATTCTTTTTTACATTGACTTCCTCAGCATCATCCAAAACCAAATTCATGTACTCATCAAACCCAATAATGCGGCCTTCAATCCTCAGATCCTTCTGCTCAAAAAGCCAAATCTAAATTCGAGCTTTACTCTGAAGAAACCTGAATATCAGCTTAATGGGCTGGGTCATAATCCTCTGAACTTTCGTGCTCGCCATGGCTACTACTACTGCTTTCTTGCAACGATTACTTAGGGGCGTTTCGTTGAAACATGGGAATCTGAATCCGAATGGGGTTTTAGCGAAGTAGCTTGTTTGTTTGCGATTGAGATGGACTGAGCATGTATCTGTTTGTTTACGATTGAGATTGGAGGCGGTGGCGGGATGCTCGACTTCATGGTTTCTCTCCTCATCGACGGCGGCAGCTGGAAGCAGAGCAAGCTGGCAACTTCCGGCGGTGGCGGCTGACCAGCGTCGGCGGTAGCAGAACTCGGAAGTGGCGCGGCTAGACCTCTCCTCCGGCCTTCCTCTTCAGTCGTCGAATGAATGGCTGGAAAGTCATATCTTGGGTTATTCAAAACTGCTAAAATGGCTGCCACATCTACAAAACAAAACATGTCTCTGCCAAATCACCTCCACATCATCAAGTCATTACCTATAACTTGAAGGATACCTGTAAAAAAGGCTAGGCGGATAAATTTTTTTGGTTTGTGCATCGTATCATCACTTATGAAAGATCAAGGTGCGGGATGACATATCGCAATTGGTTCAGGGTGCGATTTGACACTTGAGCCTACTTTTAAACCCGTAGGGTTACTGACTCTTGAAACAGCTACATACATTTGCCCATGGTTAAAGACTGGTCTTTTTAAAAACAATCCTACTCTTGAGAGCGTTTGTCCTTGACTTTTATTTATTGTCATGGCATAGGATAGCATCAAAGGAAATTGCTTTCGTTGGAATTTGAAAGGCAATCTTGGATCTGACGGTGTTAGTGACATTATTGGAATCAAAACTGTAGTACCTGCATTTGTACCGCCCATTATTTTTGCTTCCAACACATGATCAGCTAACCTTGTTACTATCAATCTTGTACCATTGCATAAGCCAAGAGTGTGATCAATGTTTCGCTTGAGCATAACGGGTGACCCAATTTTCAGAGTCAATGCATGATTAGGTACACCAGAACATCGCAGACCATTCAAGAATTCTGGAGTGTGCAAATTCGCTAACATATCTGCATTAGAATCTGACTTGCAAACTGAATCACAACTCAAATAAGTCCTACCCTCACATGGATTTTGATCATTCATGTATTGGTTAATGATATCTACCACATCCAATGTTGGAGCCAATATGGCACTATCATTCAGGTATGATAAATCACCATTGCCGCTTCTAAACAACGGGAAAATGCTATCAACAATCGTAGAAATAGTATCATCATCACATTTTAGCAGAAACTTATTTGGAATTGTCAACTCTGCGTCACCATCCGTTGTATTCCTAATTTTCCCGTCACCTATATCTGCTATCCAGTTTGCAAACTCTTCAATCTCGTTGGCCTCTAGTCGCAATTTTACACTTCTTAGGCGTAGATTTTTTGTTAGCCTAAATACTTTGCATGATCTCCAAAGGTATGACGAATTTATGCTCGATCCAACAATATCTTGCCTTGTGCCCTTTGGAATAACCGGAAGAATTTGTCTAAAATCGCCACCTAACACAACTGTTTTACCACCAAATGTCATTTCACAGCTTCTTGGATTTGTGGAGCTCAATAAATCACGCATAGTTCTGTCTAGGGCGTCAAAGCAGAACTTGTGCATCATTGGAGCTTCATCCCATATTATCAACTTGCTTTGCATAATAAGCTCAGCCAACGGGGTGCCTTGTCTTATGTTGCAAGTGGAATCTTCATTAACAGATATAGGTATTGCGAACCTAGAATGTGCTGTCCGACCACCTGGTAGCAGAAGAGAAGCTATTCCGCTAGATGCAACATTTAGAACAATTTCACCCTTCCGCCTTAAAGCGGATGAAAGTGCTCTCCACAAGAAGGTCTTACCAGTACCACCATATCCATAAACGAAGAAAAATCCACCAGCCTTGCTTTCAATATCTGTTAACACCTCCTCGTATATTACCTTTTGCTCATCTGTCAGTTGACTAACCAATTCATTATTCTCTTTCTCCTGAGCAACACGATCATATGCCAATTCTTCTTGTATCAACCTATTTGATATTACATTATAATTCTCAAAATCTGCAACTGGCATTTCTGGAAAGTCCCTAAGACTCTTTCCCATCATTGATAACAATTTTTCAATCTCAACCAAAGCAAAATTCATCTTCTGAGAGTCATTCAACACTGAATCTGCAATGATTTTAACCATTAAATTAATACAAAACCAATGTTTTTTGCTTTATTAAGTTATTTAAAAAATAACTGAAAATAAAATGCAAAAGAAATAGCTAGAATAATTTGTGTACCTGAATTTTGCAATTGTTTCTGAACTTGATATTGTGCATCTTCAGACAAACGTTGCCACACGGCATCCCACACTGCTTCAGGTTTACCTATACAGTTGGTCATTAACCGTGTAACAAATAATCTCCTCAACTTATCTCCAGAAGCCAAATGACTTGCTTCGTCTATTGCGTCTATATATTCTTTGTCATCATCAACTAAGCCTCTAGCATAACACGCATCTCGGAATGAATCATATTGCACACCATTCACACTTTTTATATCAGCAAAAGATGTAGGACGACGAACTTTATTCAACAAACATCTTAAATAAAAAAATTTCCCCAGTGGCAGGTGGGACGTAAAAAATCCTTCCTATTGCAAATCCTTTTTTCCTTGGCTGCCATTTTCGTAGTTGTTTCTTCCACACAACTTTCGTTGGCATCTCAGCATAAGTCATCTTTCTTGTCTCTGGGAATGTCTTATTAGCCTCAAACCATTCCAAGAACATGCTTTGTGCTATAGTTGGTCTATTCACAATGTTCTCAACTGGATCATCATCGGCAAAAATCACACTTTGTTGATTGGGTAAGTGAAAGCTTAGCCTTTCCACTGAGGGAGCCCTAAGTTGTATATCAAAGCCAAACAACCGCCATACAGCCTCGCAGGGTGATATGTACCTACAGTCATCGTACATATTAATCTCATCTACAGATTTTCCAACATCTGAATCATTGCTGGTTTTGTAGAACTCGGTTGTTACCCTATCGTGTCCCTTATTAACATATTTGAAAAGGTACTTGATTGAACGGGACTGGTTGCACCACTCGACATTTATATGAGCCTTGTATTTAAGCAATAAATGTCTATTGTGCGGTACAACATACCTGTTGTCCAAGACAATGCCATTCTTTGTTATTGCCCTTCCATTTTCTCGACGTCTATATAAGGGATATCCATCATCATCAAAAGTAGAACATTCCAAAAATCTCATGGGAAAATGTTTTGAACATCTTCCTTTCACCATACACGGAGAATTCAACCTAGCTTTTCCACATGGCCCATGCATCATAAATTCCTCAACCGCTTTGTAATATTCTACATCCATATTTGCATCAGGTATCTCAGCTGAAATTATTTTGTCTAAAGCTCCAACTTCACTAACTTCATTTCTTTTTTCCAAAAATAGCAATATATGTGCATGCGGAAGACCTTTTTTTGGAACTCAATGGTATATATAACTGTGAAATAAATAAGCAATATAACTTAGAAAGAAAAATCTTAACACGATAAAGTACATTAAATAAAATGTGCTGGGATTTACCTCCAGCAACAGATCCAAACAGTTGCTTCTTTCTACAATCGGCTATCAAGGAATCGAGCTTCATCTTAAACAACCTGCAAATTATGTCCGGACGGTCTTCAGCTTTCAAACTACGGTCATTAAGGAAACGTTGCACCTCAGGCCATTTTGGGTTACAGGTAAAAGTTATAAATAAATCTGGATATCCAATCCATCGACAAATAGCCATCGCATCGTGGTAGTTTTGTATCATGTACCTTGCTCCGCCAGTGAAACTCGATGGTAGAATTATCCTACGACCCTGAGTTGCCGGATTTATTTCACCCCTAGTTAAAGCATCGGTCAACCCACTATATGATTCACACCGTAAGCTTTTTTGGTGTGTCCTTATATAGATGAGTCTTCCTGACTCAACCATTGTATATCCATCAACAACAAATTGTTGGAATAACCGCTTGGCATGTAGTATTGTACTGACAACAGAATTTCTTGATTGTAAGCGATAACAAAAAAATTCCCTTGGACTAATCCTTTATGTTAGAGAAGGCAATGTCTTCCCTATAACCATCTTCACCATATGGAAACAACAATGGGTATTGAAGTGGCAAGTAGGAAGGGTTTAATTCACTTATTCTTTGTAGCTGGCCACTCTTAGTTTGAACGACAATATCACGCTCACCTATACTGGTATCAAGATCTCCAACTATTAATGCAGCTACCTTAGACACTTTAGGTAAATTGTATGTCCTAGCATCTTTCTTGCGCTTGCCTAGCAATTTTATCTTTACTTCAGCGCATGGATTTCTATCCATTTCTGACTTAGCCATACGAAATGACTTAACCAAGACATTATTTTGATCCAACTCACGTTGAATGACATTTACTATGTCCATATGAATGTCATCTTGATTAGAACCATCCCTGTATTAATTATAAAAGGATACTTTATATAATTAGTTGAAACAAAATAACCATAACATAAGTACGACACAAGCAATGAACAAATAAACCGTATCAATGCTGTGAGGTAAACAGCATTGATACGGTTTATTTGTTCATTGCTTGTGTCGTATATGTATAGTTGGGCAAAATGTGGTGGCTTGCCTTCTTGGGGAAGTAGACTCCCCATTAAATGATAGTTCTGTCCATTTAATCTGAATACAGGGGGTCCGCCTCCCTTGTTCACGCTCCTGTCAACCCTACCTCCCATTGATGTGAAGCAAAACATGTTGTTGTAGGTCCTGATGTTTTGTAAGAATTTCGTAGATAATTCACATTTGCCGAAAAAAAGATCACTGATACCTTTGGGTGGCAAGGGTAATGTTAGCAACTTAATTTTACCACTGTTGCAACACATGGAAAATCGTGGGGACCCCTTAGTCACTGTCTTATTTTGTCTTTCCTCAAACCAAAATAACGCACCACAATGGTCACACGTGTTTGTAGCGTCTCCAAAATCAAAATATTCAACTACATTAAACGGGAATATTATGAGGCGGTATTAATATTGTGCAACAACTAATAATATTATATTGTGCAACGTACCATTAGAAAGCGCAGGTGTGGTAGCAATATCGTTGTTTTGTAGTTTTCCGTCAACATTTATAACCAAACTTGTAGCAGTAATACTTGCTTCTGTAGGCAATGGAATATTTGATAGATGAAATTAAGATAAGTTAAGCAATTTCTAAGAATATAATAAATTATAGAAAGGAAAAATGAGTTTGAAATAAAAATTAACAAAATGAAATAAAAGGCTTAAAGTATCCCTATATTTAACTAATGAAAGTATATATGTAGAAATTAACGAATTACCGGTTGAGCAATTATCTGTTGCTATCATCGGTGCAGGAAGAGATTCTTCTTCGAAAGCTAATAGCAAGTCCCTATTTACGCCATGTGAAGATTTAATACTACAACAATTAGTACCGTCTAGGATTTTGTTGCCTCCACTATTAACATTCGATATGTCCTGGAACGGTTGTCGCCTTGCTACTTTATGTTGTGTGTTACAACCTATTGTCAAAGTTCATTGCAAATGAGCTATAGTATCAACGTAAAAAATTAAAACGTAAATTTATGATGTGTATAGAAAGTTACCAGTTAATATAGATGTTGGTACGGAGGATATTGAGTCTTGTAAGTGTCCCAAAATAAAAACCTTTGAATTTTTAGAGCCGAATTCTTGTGTTATGTTCCGCCCACTTAAGTGTATATTGCAAGTAACTTTGTCACACATAGATAAATAATTAAGTTAAACACAAAATCGTAATAGACAAATAGATTCAAAAAATAAATAACAGCTAACTAAAAAAATTATATATGGATATTTGAAATATTTGTAAATGTACATCGCTATAATATGTAATAGTTTTACCGTTTGTTATAGTACTCATTGGTGTAATATTATGAGTAGAACAACATCCAGTTGAAAGTCTTCTAGGGATACTTGAAGTATTTTCGTCTCCAATTGGAGGGTCAGCATTTGTTGGTGAGATTTTTTCTAAATTCTCTAAGATATAGGTAAGTAAACTTAAGTAATTAGACCAACATTATACAACATAAATGTCCAAGTATAATTATCCCTTTTTTACGTCCCCATGTCCCCCCCGTGTGGCGACATGGAGGCAAAAAAAGGAAAGAGAGGGATGGGGTTTCTCTCGCTTTTGGCATAGCGAGCCCCCAGTGGGAGGCTCGCACGACGGGCTATTAGCTCAGTGGTAGAGCGCGCCCCCTCCACGCGGCATTGCTCCGTCAGGCTTTCGCCCATTGCGGAAAATTCCCCACTGCTGCCTCCCGTAGGAGTCTGGGCTGTGTCTCAGTCCCAGTGTGGCTGATCATCCTCTCGGACCAGCTTACTATTCCCTTTGCTGTCTTAATCGCTGTCTAGCCATAATATCCCGGCGCTTTCTTCTCTTTCTATTTGATGCGCTTGCTTTCGCTTTCATGCTGCCTCTGCCTCCACTCCCATACTAGGAGCGATAATGAAGTTTCCTCTCTTTGGCTAGAGGAGAATGAATTCCTGTCTAAAGCATGTCTCTGGGATCTACTTGCTTTTACTTCATTTTTCGTCGAGATTGGGTTGGTGTGAAGTGTACCTTAGTACACGATCGAAAAGAATGCATTGGATGGATGCCCGGGCCCATACGTGCTAGTACTAAATTTCTTTGATTTTCATTTGATGAAGTGAAGACACTTATCGAGCTTCCCTCGTTCCTTTCTATTGGGCCGGTACACTTCACACCAGGCCAATCTCGATGAAAGTCAAAGCCTCCTTCGGACCTTGACGTGAACGGACGCTTTCTGATGAGTTAGTGCGAAGAGCGGCCAAGAAGAGTAGTATCCTAAAGGCTGTCCGGTTTGAAAGCAAACAACTGAGTGTCGTTTTACCCAGCTGACCTCAAACACATTAGTGCCAATGCAGAGCTAATAACATAAGTATGATGAATTATTCATGTACCAAGGTCCACCATATGGTGTGCACCCCAAATAGAAAGTATATTGTTATGTAACAATTTGTTTCCCTATCAGTACCGAAATTGAATAATTATCAAGATGATTTAGAATTATTTATTAGAGCATTATATTAGTACATTCCGTTACGACACAATTTCTAATATTACTTCGCAAAAATATTATTTATAAAGATGTACGTTCAATTTAAAAGTAATATTGAATAAGATAAAAAATAGAGTTCTATGAATATATTCAAAAATATATCTAATATACATGGAATCTTATAATTGTGTATTATGTGTCAAATAATATTTGACCACATAAGTATTCTATGATATCCTATTAATCCATTACACAACAATTAATTCATTACATCATTGTACTAAACATACTCATAAGTGGTAAAAATAAGGCCCAAGCTAAGTAAAAACACAATACTTACCCAATACACTTACACTAACCAGCTCCATTAACCCGACCCACCAACCCGACCCTTCAACCCGACCGAAAACCCGGAATATAAAATCGGAGTCCCAGCTTCACTTCTACCCTACCCGACCTTTCGCATTCCTTCCGCCTCTCTCGCCTTCGTTAGAGACCCTCGCCTTCGTAGGTCTCTCTCGCTTTCCTCCTTACATCTCTCACTCTGTCCGAAAGCTTGGTAGCAAGCATGTCGTCGACAATATCTATGGGGTTTGCGAGAACTCTTTTGGTTGTAGGTCGATGGAGTACAAACCAAAAATGTAAACTATAGACATGAAATCTTTAGTTTGTTTCCTTCGATTTAGTTTTTCTTTCGAATTACCATCATGGAAATTACCGATTTCCTCCTAATATCAGCCGATACAATAGCTTTATCCTATTCTTCGATCTAGGGTTTTGTTCTCTCCTAACCCTAACATGTGTTCGAGTCATCAATTGTTCGGCGTGGATGAGTCCGAGATGATCGTCCAAAACCCGAAGTCCAGAAACAACATATAAGCTATGTATATCTAAGATTTCTTATAATTTGTCAAGGTTTAGATCTTAGTTTGCTGATTTGAAATGATTTTATTCCATTGCTATAAGACATGCTGATAGTTCCGTAATTAATAGCTTAAATTATATAGCTAGCTGCATTTAGCCTCTGTTTTAGAGTCACATTTCAAGAATTTTTTACCTTGTGTAATTGTTAGATCTAGTGTCCTCATATTTGTAAAACAAATTGAACTTATTTGTCAATTAAATGTGTTTTGCAGGGACAGAAAGTGTGTGATGCATCATTTCAAATAGGATACAGTAAACAATCCAAGTTGTTGAAAGTAATGGTAGCAAAAGTCAAGTAAGAATTTAATTGTTGTGTACATTTTTGTTGTAGCGAATGCTTCCTCTTTGTGCCTATGATTTTAGAAGTTTTAATTTGCCTCATTGCTCTGAAAAGGTGTGTAATCACCAATATGATAGGCTGTGTTTGATATACATGAATTATGAATTGTGTGAATTCTATTTGTCTTATTTGATGTTGAGTAATTATAGTATGACTCTTCAGTTTTTCTTGAAATTGCTATTGGTGTGTGCCACTTTATGTACTAATTAAATACATGTATTCCCGATATTGTCATACTTTATTTTTTTGAATGAGATTACTAAATTATTTGTTCCCAGATTCTGACAAATGATGACTCAAAATTTTGATGTCATTGTTTTGCTTAACAATTCATCCTCTCTAATTAGCGTACGTGTGAGGTGTGGCTCCTATAAGGGATTGATTTCATGAAAGTGTGTTGTACTTAA